AAGTCCCCACCCATACATACACGCATGCAAACATGCGTCGGGGGCGCATACGTGCAAAAAAGACGATTGCGCCCATTACGCCGCACATGTTACATATCGCCGCGAACGTCGGAGTGAGAGCAATAATTGTAGGGCCATCAATCACTGATAACACTAAACTGATGAGCGGTAAAAGCTTTTAAAGCGTCGCCCATGGCCAATTTTGGGTACGGTAATTTTCTGCGATTTCGCGGGTGCGCGCAATTTTAAAGCTTGACATGTTTGGTGTCTATTTACCCGACGTGACCCGATCTTTTATATTTTACCAAAAAACTGGGTAATAATAAATGTTTCCTAACAATGTTAAAAAAAACTTTTTTTTCCCCAAATTTTCTGTAATTTTTCCTAATTATAGTAAAAAATAAAAACCCCAGTGGTGATTAAATACCACCGAAATAAAGCTCTATCTGTCCCCAAAAAATGGTATAAAATTCATTTCAGTACAGCGCTGCATGACGGAATAAACGTCAGTCAAAGTACCGCAGCGCTGAATACTGAAAAATGGCCTGGCCAGGAAGGGGGTCTAAACACCTGGTCTTGAAGTGGTTAATATACAGCATATAAATTCTCCTGCCTCGTGCGCTAGTGATCAGATGACACACTTCTGCTAGGTTTAGAGCACTCCAGACAAGCATCTGACCCCAGTGTCCTTTAAATCTTTCACTCTCTAAAAAAAAAAAAAAACTTTAACTCTCTAAAAAAAGGCTATGAAAGGGCTACTTTGAATTCGGTAAGACGGAAGATTAGAAAAAAAAATATCTAATTAGCATTACACAAGGCGTGCTGTTGGCCAGCTGTGGCAGTTCAACGTCTTTTATCACTGAAAAGGGATTGTCGCAGCAATGAGGACCTATTCTGGAACTAAGTGGCGGCTGGGAAGAAAGACTCATCTCAGCAAGCGCTGGAGACTTACTGGTTGCTGTGGGGGAAATCGAGGAGATGTTTCATGGTAACAAAGGAGTGGTTTAGGGTTTCCGCTGGGCTGATTCTTGCATCTGCATCAATCATCAACATTTTCTTCAACAGGCCCACAAACTCTCTCCTGTCTGCTTTTTCGGCCACCAAGTCACTACCATCCAGATCCATCACCATGTTCACCTGAGAGCAAAAATAAGAGGTTGTAAGAGGACTTCAAAGTCATTTCTGTCTATTTAGAAGATTTAAAAAACCTGTAAAAACAAACAAAAAAGTCCTAAAGCTATTCAAGAAACATTACACAGTGTCAAAGGCAGGCAGTCCGTTCAGTTTATTGACTGGAGGAACGGACAGGGGAGGGGGCGGGCACAGCTGGCTCTGCCTCTAGATAGACAGAGCCCTTGTCACTCACGCAGCTGGATGGATCTCGACAGTAATGTCAAGAAACGCCCCGGCGGCGGTCTATTGTAGTGCTGGCTCAGGTTGTGAACCTGCACACAGACACCATGTATCCATTCCAGAGACAAGGCAGTCTGCTGCAAAACAGAAGTTCTGCCCAGCATGAGAAAAGCTACATATTTAAAAGGAAGAGCAGCAAAGAGAAGGGAAACAACCATGGATTACAGTAAAGCACACATTACAGTATTGGTTTATGTTAAAAAATCTGAGGGTTTAATGTCACTTTAAGAAGGGTGCTGATTGGCTGAAAGACTTGTATGGGGCCTTGGAACTTCTGGGTAAAGGGGTGTCGATGTACGTGCATGAATGGGCCCTGTGTATTATAAAAGCCGTTGCTCAGGCATAGTGCCCTCTTGCTCAGTCAAGACATAGAACCAGAGAACGGATTTGCTACGCAACGTATTCTCTTTAATGTCTTTTTGATAATTCTACATTTGTATCCATTTTATCTTTTACTATGTTATGTTATATTTCTATATAAATAAGTAAGACCATTGCTTCTTCTAGTCTTTGTAGACAAACGTTTACCATTTATATCACTATCTACAGAATAAAAAAAAGCTCTGATTAAACCATATTTTAAAAAGATGGGTCAGTATGCCCAAAAGTGATGACAGAAAGTTAGGAGAATTTTTCCAAATGAGGACAAAGATCACAAACAACTGATATCGCTCCCCTGCTCTGCTCAAAACTGGAGTTGGTCTTTTGTGAATAAAAGCAAGTGCACAAAAATGTAAGGGGCAGATCTAACATTTAGCACCAAATACAGCTTTGCCTGTTAATCTTTTGCAATATATACAAATATAGGTTTACTTGCTATAACAGCAGTTACCCATTAATTATGTGTCCAGGACAGTTTATTGCCTTTAATTATTCAGTCCACAACATGAGGTGCAGATGTAGGTCACATCGCCATATAACAAGGTGGAGGTTCTATTAAAAGTTCTTAATCACACATTCATAAGCTGTTACTGTAACTGCTTCCACGTCAGACATACTTTGGAAATGTTAAAAGTGCCAGTTACTCAGCATCCCCTTTTATGTTTTGAATTTTTCTTGTAATTATTGGCATGTGTTTTCTTTTTTATTTAATAAATAATAATATCTTAATACAGGGGATGGCAAATTAATATGGAATCCAGGAGGCAGCAGGAATTGTTTTAGGAGCCAGCTTCATTGAGAAAACCTCAAAAGTCGGACACCGGCTGTCATTTCTTTAGGAGCATTGGCTACTCGACGCCTGGGATTTGTCCAGCCCTGTATTAAAGGAGAAATACGTGGAGAATACAAATACACTCATCCCCATAATTAGAGTCGATGTGTGTCACCGAAGCTGTCGCACGTTGGCTCTAGAGAACGGGAACTGAGCAATCGCATACCGCTGCTGATCGCTGACTTCCCGATCTTCTCCCCTCTATGTTTCTCCAGCGCTGACTGGAGGAACGGACGGGGGGGGGTCGGTTGTGCGCACAGCTAGCTCTGCCAGCTGTCAATCAAGTGGTGTGGTGGATCCCGACAATATTGGAACAGGAATTTTCCCGGCCGCAGTGCAGCTCTGCGCTGTCAGCATATAGCGGCAGACCACTATATGCTGAGTTTCTAAAGAGAACTTTGGCCAAAAAAAGTTGGGGACATAGTTCTCTTTTAATATATTTTGGACTACCCCCCTTCAAAAAAAAAAAAACACATAGAAGAAGTTTTTATAACAATCAGGAGACATGCACACAAAGTGAATGTGCTGGAGTGGACGGCATTATGTGTGTAGTAGAAGAGAACACATGGTGCTATGATGAAGACAACACAAGGCAGGGAGAGGACAGGAAAGAGGAACAAATAAAATAACATAGGTCAGATATCAAATTAGATACCTATTATTCCTTACAAGAATATGATATCCATTTTTTTTTTTACAAACAAAAGACTGATCTTACAACAACAGAGGATTCTAAGGGCAAAACACACAACACAGTATACATAAAGAATAATGATCTTTAGCTAAGCACATACTTTTCTATAGTTTTAATGACAACGCTGTGTATAGGTGTACACAGTATGTCCAAATATAATCAATTTCTTATTTGCCCCCGGACACTTATACACTAATTATCTGTTCTCCTAAAAGCAAATGCTCAAAATATTTTGTTGTCCGTGTCCACCCTGCTTTAGAATCACGGTCAGGGAAAGTCATGTTTTGTCTACGCTTGACCACACCACAGGAAGGAGACATCCTGCTGGTTCATTGGAGATATTTTGAGGTTCCCGATTCAGTCCTTCAGAAAGTAGGTGTTTAAAAAGGCAATTTAGGGTGCTATGGCAATGTCCTAGAAGAGCCAGCAATTCTGAAGAAAAGTGTGGCCTGGCACCTTATGGTGCCTGCTCTTCAGAAGTGTTTATACAAGGGGGATAAAATAGAGATAAACAATTATCTTACTCCACGGTCCCATGGCAGATTTAGTTCCTGTCTTCTCTGCTGTCAATGGAATGTGGGGGACTCCTCTGTGTCATCGAGTACAATTCAAGAGCAGCGGTGACCACTAGTCCTGCACTATACATTATGATGAAGGTGAAAGGGAAGGTGACACAACACAAGATGATGATCACTTTTAGGAGACCAGACATTACCAGAACCAGCGGAGGGGAAGACTTCAAAACGGTAGAATAAGGCAAGTTGTCCTCCCTATTAGAGCCCCCCTAGACTAAACAAGCAGAACTTAATGCTCAAAAAAGGGTTCATCTTTAGTTTATAGTTCCCTTTTCACAGCACAGCTTCACTTTGATAAATAATCCAAATACATCTGTAGTCTATTTCGCACTTAGAACAGAAGCAAAACAATGACTTATCCTAATCCAAGTATTCAGTCTTCTTTCCCTCCTGTCACTAATTCACAGTAAAGTAAAGACTTACAATTTGTCAAACAGGATCCAGTGTTGCACTCCAGTTACTTACATGCACTATATCATCCAAACTGTTGAAAATATACTTCCTGGCTTCTTTAGACTTCATCCCTGTCTCTGTTTCATGCTCCTCTAAGGTCTGTTGAGGAGAAAATTAAATACATTTCACTGAACAATACCAAAACCCAACATTTTATAACCAATTGGCAAGTAAATGCAGTACAGGATGACACAGACACCTCACCACACAGGCTGCAATCATCCTCCAATCAAATTCTAAACATAGAATCTAATAAGATAATGAATGTAGTCACCTGTAGTCCAATAGCCCTATGACAGTCTTACAAGCACACGAGGATAAACATTAGTGACAATTTGGTCAGAAGCCAATGAACTAAGTATGTTTCAAAAACCAAAAAAAAAAAAAAAAAAAAAAAAAAAAAAAAAACAGATAGACAGCCATATAAGAAATGCAACTAGTACCCTGGCTCTAAAAAAATAAAAAATAAAACCCTGCTTGCTAGCAAGCCACCATGCTGCACCAGACAAGGCTCTACTGCCGTTATTTAATTAAATAATATTAAAGAGACCCTGTCAGATAAAAACACAGAACAATCAAGTATTTTAAATATTTGCTTGCAGTGTGTTATCCTTCTATAATTTTAGGGCTGCAACCAACTAATCGATTAATTGATAATGAGAATAGTTGGCAGCTATTCTCATTATCGATTAGTTGGTTGGATCCCCTAGCTCTCTCCTCCATGCTGGGTGGAGAGCACATCAAGCAGATGGCGGGTGCAATAGCCAGCCTGCTATTGGCTATTACAATTTGAAATGGCCAATAGCAGGCTGGCTATTGCACCAGCCCTCTACCTGCTGTATTTACATTAAGCCGCCGACTGCGTGATCTTGCCACTGGCAGCTGTCAGTCCCTGGCTCAAGCTATTCAAGCGCCATAAGCTTACAATACAATTATTAAAATAGAAAAATTAAAAAAAATTAAAGTGGGAAAACTTTAGTTTCAGAAACTCAGTTTCTGCCTGACAAATTCTGCTGTTGGAGGTGCGTTGCAGTGCCATTCAATTCAACCCAAACGCACCTCCCAGCCACTCTGATCGCCCGCACTGGAACGCACGTTACCTCAACGCCGTGTCTTCCAGTGCAGTGTGATTGCAAAAAATTGTGCATGCAGTTTTATTCTAAAGTAAACTTTATGTTTGTAACACTGCATTTGTGTTTTTATATTTTAAATTTAAGGATGGCATTTATTTCATTTTTTTATCTGATTAATTGAAAAAATAATTGCTTTTGAAAATAATCATTAGTTGCAGACCTATATTATTTGTTTGCAAGATTTTTTGCTGGAAAAAAAAAATGGTCTGGCAGCAGGATCTCTTTAAACCAGCCATTGCATTAGTAATGCCTGTTCACCATCCTGAAACATACAGCCTTACAGGAAGCGAACATGATTCTAGATACTAACTACATTAGGGCTGCAACAACTAATCGATTATAATCGATTATTGAAAAAGTTGTCAACTTTTTCAATAATCGATTAATCGGCTTACGATCAGTTGGCCCTGTTCACAGCTCCACACGCTGTGCGCCGCACCTCCTCCCCACCTCATGCTCGCCGCTGCCAGACCCGCTCGCATCCACGCTCATTACGCCGCACCTCCTCCCCGCCTCACATTTCCTGCCCATCCACATCAACGATCGGCACAGGGACGCGGGGAGATGTAGTAAGGAGGAGCAGGTGTGGGGGGATGACAGCTGCTGATAGACAGGTCCGATCTCAGAAGCACGTTGCTGGAAGACTGCTCAGGTAAGCCTGCACTCTCCCACACATGGTACTCTATAATGTATTGCTGGGATTTGTATTTCTCTATAGCTGATGGTACATTGTGCTGTATATTATACATAGGAATACAAATCCCAGCAATACATTATACACTGTATGTATAATGTATTGCTGGGATTTGTTGTACTCCTCTATAGCTGGTGATATTCTGCATTGCGCTGTATAGAGGACTACAAGTCCCAGCAATAATACATTATACAGCGCAATGCAGAATACCACCAGCTATAGAGGAGTACAACAAATCCCAGCAATAATACATTATAAAGTGGTACAATGCTAAATACCACCAGCTATAGAGGACTACAAAACCCAGCAATAGTACATTATACAGCGCAATGCAGAATGCCGCCAGCTATTATGTACTATTGCTGGGATTTGTTGTATTCCTCTATAGCTGGCGGTATTCTGCATTGTGCTGTATAATGTGCTTTTGCTGGGTTTTGTAGTCCTCTATAACCGTTGCCATTCTGCATGCATTGCTGTATAATTTTACACTTTCCATTTCACTATATTGCACACCACACTATCTTTTTTTCTTTTTTATTTCCACCGGTCCAAGCTTGATCCTGTGATGGACTACAACCTCAATACAAACTAGTAGTCCTATCACTGGAGCCATTTTTTAAACTTTATTTTATAGTTTATCCGATTAACCGATTAATCGAACTTAATAATCGGTTAACTAATCGATTTTGAAAATAATCGTTAGCTGCAGCTCTAAACTACATTAATGTTACTTACTTTTAACTTCCAGCTGGGGTATTGAGCATCTGGATCACGACAGAAGAATCTGGATGTTTTTGTACCTACATTTAGTAGGTGTTCTCCTGGTACCCCTTGTGTTTGGGAAATGAATCGGATCTAAGCAAGGGAAAAAATAAAGTCACATTTATTGTAATAGCATGGTTACCATGGCTAGTTAAGAATAAACTTTTAATTTTTAGGACAACCTTTCTTTCTGTTGACAATCAAGATTATGGAAAATTCAAATTATGCAGCGCCAACATCAATTAATGAATGTGTCAATATCAACATAAACTGTGATCAGTTCGTGAACAATAAGCACACAAATGTGAATGCAAATATCACCAATGAATATATCAAAAGGAACAATCGTATATACCCCAAAAAATATATAAAATAGAAACAATCAAAAAGAAAAAAAATAAATAACAAATAATGTTCTTTTTAGTCTTTTTTCCTTTTCTTAAAAAACACCGTTGCCCTGGATAATGAATCCCACAGGGTCTTTGAAACCGTTAAATGTTGGTGACAAAACCACCGTGAGTAGTAAAGTGTTTATCTTGTGAAATGATATTGAAAAAAGAAAATTCTGTGAACTTTTGTTGGGGATATGGGCCAATGCCGTATGTATCCCCTCAAATAAAACCCCGTTTTTTGGAAAGTACTATGCAATGAAAGGCTCCTTTTTTTTATGAACGTGGAGATACATCACCCGCTATCTGGAGATCTTGGAGAGACGCTTCTGGCTGCTTACCACAGCCACTACTTCAGGGTGAGTGCACCCTTTGAGGGGACACATACGGCATTGGCCCATATCCCCAACAAAAGTTCTCGGAATTTTCTTTTTTCGATATCATTTCACAAGATAAACACTTTACTATTCACGGTGGTTTTGTCACCAACATTTAACGGTTTCAAAGACCCTGTGGGATTCATTATCCAGGGCAACGGTGTTTTTTAAGAAAAGGAAAAAAGACTAAAAAGAACATTATTTGTTATTTATTTGTTTGCTTTTGATTGTTTCTATTTTATATATTTTTTTTGGTATATACGATTGTTCCTTTGATATATTCATTGGTGATATTTGCATTCACATTTGTGTGCTTATTGTTCACGAACTGATCACAGTTTATGTTGATATTGACACATTCATTAATTGATGTTGGCGCTGCATAATTTGAATTTTCATGTGTTGACCTAAGGGTCGTTTTTGCTGCAGCCTTCAAATTTTCCACGTTAGCACTTATATTCAGAACACTTTTATTTCACACATCCAGCGCAGAATCATTAAACAACTAAACAAGATTATTGCTGGAAATTAATGTGATTGCCAACAAGTGGTTGAAATAGACCAGCATTAAATATTTAAGACTGCTTTGAATTATTATGGAGGGTGGATATAATATAATTAGAATTCACAGAAACTCATCTGTCTCCTCTATCAATCCAGTGACATTACAGTTCCGGGTCACACGCCCTAATGCCAAGCCGCCATGAAATAGGGTGCTGACATCAACAGTTTTCAATAAAGTAAATGAAGGCTTTGTTGGCACAGACACCCACAATGTAGAGTTGTTGAAGGCCATACGACTTAATTCTGGGTTTAGTCACATGACCCGAAAGCACAGAAGATCTTGTTACCAGACAGGTAAGTTTTGAGGTATCTTCAAGTGCCCCAATAAAAGGTTTGGTGGTCTCTTGCAGCACCTAAAGCTGGCCATACACCTTACAATTATCTGCAGATTTTCTGTGGTCAGATGGAAAAGGTGCAACAGATTCCTCCATCTACACTTAACTGTGTGGATGGAGTAATCTCCACCTGGGCCAATCTGTTGCACTTTTTCCATCTGACCACAGAAAATCTGCAGATAATTGTATGGGCACCTTTAGGGTTCTGCGGCCTCTCCTTGACCAAAGAAAAGGGTTGTCATCTCCAGGGCAGCTGAGAGCAAAACCAACACAAAATGGTGTACTCCTCAAAAACGATTTGCAATACCCGACATGATAAATGAGATTCTTTTTGTATACAGCTAATAAGATAATGTTTTTATTGCAACTCCCTCTTCATTGGCCTACCTTTACACAGGCTCCTCCCACCTTCGGTCTATCATGAATGCTGCTGCTAGACATATCCACCTAACCAACCCCCTCTGCCAATCCCTCCACTGGCTTCCCCTCGCCCAAAGGATAAAATTCAAAATATTACCAACCACTTACAAAGTCATCCACAACTCTGCCCCTATCTCAAACCTTGTCTCAAAGTATCACCCTAACCATCCCTTCCAAAGACCTCCTGCTTTCCAGCTCCCTCTTCAACGCCTCCCGCACGCCTCTGGGACTTCTGTAGAGTCTCTCTCATCCTCTGGAAATCTTTACCCCAAACTATCTCCCACTCTGACTGCCTTAAGGCGATCCCTTAAGACTCATCTCTTCAGGGAAGCCTATCCCACCTCAACCTAACCACTGCAACCTAACCGAACACAGTACATCGCACAGCTGCTTGCAGTTAGGATAGTGAAATGAGAACGTGGAATGTCCGCATGGGTAAATATTCCACAAGAACTTGGTCGACACAAGCATGGGACACCATAATAAGTCTCGTCGCCACCTCGCCCCTCATCCCTCCCCCCCCCCCCCACCCCCCAGCACAAGGGGCCCTTCTATAATTATATAAGGTCTAGGAGGCCTTCAATGTATGGGTTTTATGATGGAACAAAAGAGAGTACAATTGGAAAACATTTTACAGTGTACTCTATTATTTTTTTTTTTTCTTCTAATAAACAGAGAGCTATAAAACACATGTGTAAAGCAGGAAGTGAGAGTTTTGTCGTTATGTTACAGCTAATCATAAATACGGAAATGTTTCACAAGCACACAACTTCTGCTTTTCAAACAAGCCACAGTGATTCTAAGCGTACGTTGGGCTTCAAATGGGCTGTGGTAACAATGTTACAGCAGTGGCCTCCCCGTCACATTATTGGAATAACAGGTCCTTCCCTTTGTAAGAAGTCTAGTTCCTGTTCGCTAATGCCTTTGCAAAGTTTAGAAATTACGTGGTTATATAGTCAAAGATTTTTTTTAATGATCTGTGTTCACCAACAGGCGACAAAACCGTCATGGCTGTGACTAGGTCATAAACACATACACCATTGTTATTTTAGAGAAGCCACAAACCATTTCTTTGGGGGGGGAAAACTATTTTATTGCATTCTATGGCTCTGGCAGCAATCCACACAGAAGGAGGAAACTGAATTTCTGTCCCTGTTTTTGTCCAGTCCTCTTCGGCTCCTGTGATGCAACAGAGACTTCTATTACCTGTTTTATGGAAACAATGCCATTAGTCGGCATGATCTGAAGACGGGGTGGATACAGACACAACATGTTTCAGCATGTAATACCTAAGACTGCAAATTAACTGCTCCATCATGTCAAGGAAAGAAGTAACCATGTCAAATGGTTATATTTATAAAAACATATTCTGCTTTTAAATAGGACTTCTTCAAGTGAAATCAGCTGTCATGACAGCTGACCCTCCAGTTCATTGCTTAAGTATGCCACTGCCTGGAGCATTGGGATACAGCCAAGTAGCCCTATGAAACGCGCGTATGCTGTGCGTTTTGTACAGCCAATCGCGGTAAAAAGGCGCGTCACGAAATGCGACAAACGCGCATATTCGATACGCCTAGGTGTGAACCCAGCCTAAGGCCCCATTCACACTGAGCGACATGAAAATAGCACGATTTTGAGCGATATTGCGCGACGAGCGATATTGAGCGACTTTTTCCTATTGGGCTGTATGCAATCAGGAGCGAAATCGCTCGAAAAAAGGGTCATGTAGGAGCGACAAGCTACAAGCGATATTGAGCGACGAGATGTGAACAGCTCCATTGAAATGGATTGGAGAAGCTACATAGAGCGATATCGCATGGAAATATGAGCGATATCGCTGCGATAAATCGCTCAGTGTGAATGGGGCCTTAAATGGGAGCCTTCCTCAAAAAGGTCTCCCCTTCTTCAACAAGGCATCAGCAGTCTCCACGACTGGAAGGGAACCTTGAATGCATCTTTCAAAGCTGTTCCTACAGGTTCCCTTAAAACACATCAACAAACCATTCATTTTTAATAAGGGTCATGAAAATTACACACATTAGGATGGCTATATCTCTCCCAAAACAATAGACAGGGAGATATCTGCCCATCCTAGTACTAGTTGTTTAAAAGGAAGGATAGTGGTGCACGCCCAGTACTTTGGCCTTCAGTCTTCTACAGAAGAAGGGTTTGCTCCATTACAGGGATATTACAAAGATATTTTCCAGCAAGTGCCTTTGAGATACAGTTTCATTGCAGGCCCCACAGAGAGCAGGGCTGGCTGTCAGGTCATTAAAGTGACACTAAACTCAGGAGTTAAATCTAAAAACTGCATTCAGGTAACCTACTAACAAAAATGTATCTTATTTGTGTATCATTTCACTATAGATTGAAGATCTACAGCCCAGTGATGCACAAATAAGATACATTATTGTTAATAGTTAAGATACAGAGTTCTGTGTCACTTTATTGTGTACCCTAAGAGAAAGTAGATTCAATGAAGTACATCCAGTAAACTAAGTGACTAAGGCATAAATTCTAGTAAATATTTCACTTGAACCTTAACCTTGCCTTAACAGTACAGCTATTAATACCTAACTTTGTCTCATTACAAGGCTCCATCTGTTCGCTTACATTCAGGAGGTATTACCTGATGACATAGAAATGGGCTTTCGAGAAGGAGTTTATGGATAGTGGCTGCATAAAGAACTTAAATTCATTTTGAAGTCATAAGCCAGTCAATCCAGTTAAGGAACCAGAGGACATGCACTTCCGAGGACTACAATGGAAAATGTTTTATGAAGTGTGTACTCCTGGATCCTGGAATTTCTATAGTCTTGGCTGATAGATGTGTAGCCAGTATGCACGGAAAAGAAAAATTCCAACTTGTATCTAACTGGCTTACATGTGCTGATCTTTTAGTTAGGGATGCACCGATACCGGTTTTCGGTATCGAGTATGAGTACCGATATTTATATTTCTGTACTCGCTGATACCGAGTACCAATAGCGGTACTTCCGGTAGCATAGAGCCGGCTTACCGGGCAATCAGGAAGCCAGGCGGCATGTCATTACCCACCGCCCGGCTTCTTGATTGCCCAGGAAGCTGAGTCCATTCTGTTTGGCTGGCTCGATGCTGTTTAGCCAGGAAGCCAGCTTCCCAGCCAATTGGCATCGAGGCCGGCCAAACAGTTCTGACAATATGGTGACACGACCCCCCACCCTGCAGACACCTCATTCCCCTCACATATATCCACAGCAGCAGTCATTACCGTACCACTCCCTCGGCCTGCTGAGCAGACACCGTTCTTCAAGCTCTCCCGTATCTCTAAAAATATTTTATTTTTTATCCGATTAACCGATTAATCGGACTTAATAATCGGCTAACTAATCGATTTTGAAAATAATCGTTAGCTGCAGCTCTACTGTGCACACAGGAGATGTGGGCAGATCTGGGAGAGCTTGGAGAGCGGTGTGTCCCCAGGTGGCCGAGGGAGTGGTACGGTAATGACTGCTGCTGTGGATCTATGTGAGGGGAATGAGGTGTCTGCAGGTGGGAGTCGTGTCACCATATTGTCAGATCTGTTTGGCCGGCCTCGATGCCGATTGGCTGGGAAGCCGGCTTCCCGGCCAATCAGCATTGAGCCACCCAAACAGCATGGAGCCAGCTTCCCGGTTCCATGTTCATTCGCGGCACTGCCGCTCAGAGGAAATCTCTCTTTGACCAGAAGTTCCTGTATCGGGAAAGGTATCGGAGCATTTGGGTGAGTACGAGTATCTGCACCGATACTAGGATTTCTATCGGTGCATCCCTACTTTTAGTTCCAAATTAGTTTGTTTACAATTTAGTGTATGTCAGTCTGAAGGATTATTAATAGGAAAATTTAGAATTCAGTAAAAACAAAAAGAAAAATCATACAAAGTGTTTTAGACGGATTGTGCCCTGAAGTGGTTTTCGTACCTGCAAGTGGCACACTGTGTGCAATGGTTAGTAAACAGGACAATTTACAGAAGGTGTAGTACCATTGATAAAAAGTTCCGAATCAGAGGCGTGTTTATCAAAACCCAAGAATAAAAAATGCAATATACTGCAACTTACTAGCCCTTAGATGTGGTTGCTGAAGTATTATTGTTTTTTTTTAAGTCTTCTTTTCCCTCTTTAAACCTCGAGATCCTGCCGGTAACACACTTTATGTCCTAGGTCAGTGGAGTGTATTTATGGAGGAGCAGCATTTTCACTGTAACACAGGAAGTGTGTTAGGACTGCAGAACACTTTTGTTTCTTTTCTTCTTTATAAAATAGGGTAATGTGTTCTGTAGTCCTAACACACATCATACTATTTTTTTAGATAACAATGCAGAGTGCACAGCATAGCACTACATTTCTGGGAGGATGACCTTTTATTTTTGCACTTATAACAAATAAATCACTTTCAATTGCATATTCAACAGACCAAAAAACAGCAAATAAAAGATGTTCATTGCTAGGGTTTACATATTCTTAAATTAACATGCGCTGGACACAGTCCTTAGCAGTCTCCTGTAATTTAGCAATCTACTCTGGCAATCTACTGTACCCTGGAAGCAACTGTAGCCAATTTGTTAAAACATGGCAACAGTCCGTAAAACATTTTAGAACATGGCAGCATTTTTTAAGACGAACGTCTCAAACAAGACAATCTCCGGCACCATGTTGCAGACTTTTACAACGAGGACCCTCATTCTGTAACACAAAGGGTATAAATGAAAAGGGCCATCACACCAATAGTTGCAGGTCCAAGTATGTTTGCTGAATCACAACAATTCAAGAAAATTCAAGACGACGCATTTCAGGGGGTTCATTCATTATAGCTTAAAAGTGCCGACTCAGATGAACTCATCAATAGGTCAAAATGTTTAAAGATTAACAGCAGCCCGTCAGAAACAATGAAACGTGTTGGATTAACTTTTCAGAATATTATGAAATAAACATACCTGGACTCTCAACTACTGGTGTGGTGCTCCTTTTATCATGTACCCTTTGGATTATGTCTGAATCGCCTTCTAGAGGCTAGAATGTCATGTTTGAGAGCTGCCTAACCAGAGTCATTCGAACTCCACAATGTAGACTACACTACTTTAAGATTGATCAGATTTTGGATCCAGCAGCTGACATCTATGCTTCCTTTAAACAGCAGTCCCATGTTATGTGGCCAGTGACTCTTATGGCATAGCAGACTCTTGAAACAGGTAAATGTTGTTTCAGGTAGGGGTTACAGGTGCAGTTCGTGAGTTCAAAAGCAGGTTTGAGGTACTGGTCACCTGCAAGTCTACAGACACAATCCCACGCAGGTCTCCACAGCATGGCACTTCACTTTTATCTTGTTTACTTATTCACCTCACAGCTCCTCTTGGCTTATTACATTATATTATCCATACACAAATAACCTTGCCTGCTGCTTTATTTAGCATCTAAAGATTGCCAGCTCTCCGGAGAAGACAAGTCCTCCCTTGGTACTCCTATTTACAGGTTGTTTATGACACTATCATGCAAAGCGCTTTACAGTGTTGCTGGAGCCCTGTATCTAGAAGTACACAAGTAATGCATTCTGCATAATCACACGGAGATTAATGAATGAGCAACAGCAAGATGTGCTTCAACAGACACACAAAACAGCTGAGGCTTTTTCAAGTAAAGTAATGAATGTATTCATATGGAAAAATAAACAAGGCTAGGAAATCAGTAAAGTAGTTTCTGCAAGAAAAGCTGAATGCATTTTTGAAAAACACAGAACTGCGTTGCCCACTGGCATGCACCATCCTTGTGTTGAATGATGCAGCATGCACATGTATCCCTGAGCACTCATGTGTATTAAAGCTTTAGGGCTTAATTCAGCCTTTGAACCCCAGCGGCAGCTCAACACTCATTGGGTTTAATAACGTCTGTCTAGACTAATGGTTGTAAAGGTCTGCCTGATTCCAAAACATTGCCCACATATTGTGCACAGCAGGGCTAACAAAGCTGTATGCAAATGGATAAACATTTCTGTACTCTGGGTAGGCAGAGATGTTCGGATAATTAGAAGGACACCCCCAATATTATTAAGGCTTACAATTTTGGGAACTGGAAGATGAGAACAAGCATCTCTGGCGGTTGGATCTACTGATGATTTTACAAAGAGTTTTCCCAACTTGCCTCCCCATGAGTTGGCCAATCCTTCCTATGCTATGGAGCAGAAGAAATGATCAATATTGTACAAGTCACTGCCATCATGGCCAAGTATCATGGTGCATCTTTGTTATTTACATCTTTTTCTTTTTCCAATTCCTTTTTTTTACCTTCCCATGTTCATGGTTGCTCTGTCCTGAATAATTCAGAGAACAGATATACACCCACCAACGTTCATCAGTAGACATATAGAAAATGGCATACCTGGTCATACTCCAGTGCTCCTGGGTATAGAGGCCATCCTAAGAACAGCTCAGCAATCACACAGCCCAGCGACCACATGTCTATGGCTTCACAAAATGGCAACCCCAAAATGATCTCAGGAGCTCTGCAAAGAAAAACAAAATCACTCACGGTTATTAGGTCATTGCTATTAGACAAAACAAGCTGTACATACTGTAAGTAGACACAAACTAATATAACTTTTTTTCTATTTGGTGACGGCACATACTCGATACTCCAGAGCACCCAACAAAGCCCTGGAGTATCGGAAATACTTAAACTGACACTAAACTCAGTAGTCAAGTCTTACGAATGCATTCAAATACATTATCTTATTTGTGTATCACTCGGCTGTAGATCCTCAAATTATCTCTGCATTGATGTCGACCCTGTTCTTCCTTCTCGAGGGGGACTACTTTTGTTCCCCGTGGTCCCTGTGTGTGTTGTAAAGTAGCCACCGCTCCAAGTTCACTCGTGTGATGGACTAGAATCTCAATACAAATTAGTAAACTAAACATGAGATTGTAGTCCATCACAGGAGTGAGCTTGGAGCGGTGACTACTTTACAATACACACAGGGACAATGGAGAACAAAAGTAGCCCCCCTCCAGAAGGAAGGACAGTGTCAGAACCAATTCAGAGATGATTGGAGGATCTACAGCCGAGTGATACACAAATAAGCTACATTATTGTTAATAGTTAAGGTGCTTGAATGCATCTGTAAGATTTTACTCCTGAGTTTAGTTGCACTTTAATATGGAACATAGAGATTTTCTAATTTTATTGGCGAGCCATCTGCCCATTCATGAACACAGTCCATGCACATACCATACTAAACAGCTATGAGTGCGCTTGCTTGAGTTTCCTCTATAAAAAGAGTTGGATAAGCTGTTTGTGCACGTAAAAAGTTTGTGTGCTTGCAACCTCAGCTGTAATTACCGGCAATCACAAGCATGAGATGAAGTGCTACCATTTTGCTTGCAAATCCACTGAGAATTTAATGGTAGGATATAGAACCCAACTATCTTTTTTTTTTTTACCTCTCCTGGCTGCTTGAGTATTATCTGCTTTTGTCCAATGGTTCATATATTGGTTATCTCAAGGTAACTTGCTTTCACAAGGATTCAAAAATGTAAACATCATTCCCTACAATATATGTTTAAGTGAGAAATGTCAATACCAACCAAACAAGCAAGAACGTATTTCCTACTTTAACTATACATAGTATAAATGCTCCAATCCCCAACTACAGGTACAGGCATTTATTATTCAGTATGTATTGTGCTTTGTCTTTTCCAGCTCTGGAAAAAGTTTGAGATCTATTTCCAAACTGTGTAACACTATTTTTTTAAAGTGTATTGCAACCTTGGTGGCAAACATCTGAGCTTAGAAATATACTTGATGAAAGATCAAGTTATCTGAAACCAAATCCAATTAAGGCTGCACAGCCAAACTCAAAGTTGTTTGTATCGAAGCGTCATGTAATCGGCAAAAACACAACTTTTATCTCTGGGGAGCAACCTTCTAGAGTCTGAGTTGGAATATTTCAGTCTACAGACAACAGTCTGTAAAGGTGCCCATACACCTTACAATTATCTGCAGATTTTCTGTGGTCAGATGGAAAAAGTGCAACAGATTGGCCCAGGTGGAGATTACTCCATCCACTCAGTTAAGTGTAGATGGAGGAATCTGTTGCACCTTTTCCATCTGACCACAGAAAATCTGCAGATAATTGTAAGGTGTATGGCCAGCTTAAAAGAGTAAACTTTAGGCCAGGTTCACACCATTTTCCTGGACCAGACCTGGAACGCGGTGCATTGCCTTTTGCCGCGTTTTTACTGCAATTTTACCGTGATTTTGTTCAATTCCGCAGCTGTTTTTTTTTTTTTGCTCACTGCAGGGAGACGATCGGGAAGTGAGCAGATCAGTGCATGTTTCTGCTCACTTCCCTATCAATATAGCTGACCTGTCACAGCTTCTTTGTCACAGATCGGCTCTAACTATGAGAATGAATGAAAATCACTCACCTCATAGGTCACATTTAACCCTTGCAGTGCGTGGGTTGCCTCACTGCAAGAGTTAAGAAAATGTTTTCCTGGAGTTCTTTGAAGTCAAAGGGTTTTTGAGCTATTTCAAATGCTGTACAAATTACTTGGATGCTGCTTCTTGATGTTTAAGGATTTTAACTTCCTGCAGAATAAACTGCGCCCCTGAGTACTGGTCCTGATATCTTGCTTTCCCTTGCAAGGTCCTATGGAGCTACCCTTGCATGCGATAGTAAGCTTTGTGTGTCTCCACAAACACACAGGCACAGCGTGGCAAGCCTCTCCACTGCTGCCTTCTCCCCACTACTTCTTCCTCTTCAAGCTAGTAGATGGTCAGCTGCTGGAGACTGATCTGTCCCTTGTGATCTTACACTGGACAGGAAGTTTAGGGCAGTGAAGCTGAGAGAGTTGGAGCTGTTCGGAAACATGATGATTGTATGCGTTTGGGCAAAAATTTAAAAAAATACTTTGCTGGCCAATGTATATTTGTTTGATCTGAATTCATTATTTTAAAAAAGTTTGAGAGTTTAATACTACTTTAAAGGATTAATCTATGTGCAGCGATTGTCACATCGGACAGGAAAAGGTTTTCGGTATGAATGCTGAATATCTGTATTGTACCAGGTACAAAAGAAACTGTACAAAAGCCATGTGTGGCAATGTGTCCCTAGTGCCGTCACAACTTCCTCTCAAGTCATTTAATTTCTGATTGGATATCTATTGGCCTCAGCTATCAGAAGACCACACAGATGCCATCAGGGCCCTCCTTACCATCTTGTCTTGAATTGTATTGTGATTGAAATGTCTGCCCTATATTGTAAAGCGCTGCGCAAACTGTTGGCGCTATATAAATCCTGTATAATAATCATAATCAGCTGACGAGGTCTATGATGGGTTTGTGGACAGCAGAAGAACTACATATTTTTTTAAAACGCAAAAATTACATAAAGCTTTTCTAGAAGCAAGATACGACAAGAACTAGAGCCCTACTCAAACAAACTACTAGTTCAGATTTTCCATCGCTGTGCCTGAACAGTCGGTGCCAGTTTCCACTTCTATTCAAGCTGCCATTGTGTGGAAGGTGGGTGGAAATGATTATTTACATTCTGCAAAAGTATTTATGGGAAGATACTATAGTTCACAGAGAACCTGAGTACCAGGAATTCAGGGCCGGCCAATCAGAGCACGGATCGCATGCAGGGACATGGAGAAATGTTAATGGCTCAAAGGGAAGCTCAGGGCAGGAACGTGTCTCCAAAGCCAATTCGTCTTCTCCAGGTACACCAGGGTGTGTAATGACTAATTCTGTAACCATAGCAAGCAGCGCTGTTTGTGTAATGTAACCATACCATTAATAAAACAAAAGGATGTTTCTTCCTTCATCGAGATATCCGACAAGGTAACGTTTAAATCACCTGCTATGGCTATCGGCTTACTTGCAAGGGCCACAAAGTTGACTGGATCACTTAAATCCCTCTTGTTCACCCGATACATAATAAGGTTCTTTGATTAACCTCAACCGCAGAGAAGAGGGCAAGCTATATTACAGTGCGCCTTTCACCTAGAAACAGTGAAGCACCCAAAAGTCATATAAAAACTGATAAAAGACCGGTACATGATGGATGCAGCCAGCATTTTAGGGAGAGCAGATCGCTTTGTCACACTGACCTCACTAGGACTTAAAGTACATCAAAGCCCACAAACAAAAATGTAATATACTGCAGGACTTTTTTCCATTTATTTACACCCGGCGACCCTGCCAGTAACAGGGCGACAACGCTCACTGCACTGTATTCACGGCTCCATTCACAACTTGGCGTTTTGTGATTGCGCATCAAACGTGCATGCTTCAACACTGGTTCAAGATGTGTGCATAAACGCGGAACGGGTTTGTGTTGCCATCTCTAGGTAACAAGACCCCAAACACGTCTGCGCAAACGCGTTTTTTCCCTGCACAAGAACACGCAGGGGAAAAAAAAGAGTACCACTAGTCGCCAAATTTGAATTATGTACTTCTTTTTCCCGCAGTTTGCACACGTCCATGGGCCCAATGGAGATGCACGCCAAATGCAGGAAACAAAGTCCCACAAACATGCAGAAACCCATGTTCCAATGATGTGTTAACGGAGCCTACGGAGGAGCAGTGTTGTCACTCTAAGGCAGGTAGTTTGTTCTCCATCTCCATAAAATGGGGGCATATGTTCCGTAGTTCACATAGAGAACTGGCTAGAGCTGCAACAACTAAATCGTGAGAATAGTTGGCAACTATTCTCAACATCGATTAGTTGGTTGAGGGGGAGAGAGGGAGAGAGAGAGAGAGAGAGAAGGGGGGGAGGAAGAAG